AAAAAAAAAAAAAGAATACAGAAAGAATCTGATCCGTATTCCCGGAGCTCCAGCTGCAGATTTCTCCCCAGTGCTACCTGGGAAGTGAGGGAACCCATGCGCCCTCTGGGGTGTTGGTGATGCTTCGTGTGCAGCTCCCCCAGGTCTTGCTCCTGCTGGTTCTGGAGCTTCATCAGAGCCTTGTGGCCTTGGAGGTTATCCAGTGGGCTGGGGGCCACCTCTGAGAGGGTGCAGGTGATGGGTCATCCCACTGCCCTGGGCTGCTGAGGGGGGTACTTGTGGGGATGGTGGCAGAGCCTGGGGCTGGTGGGGGAAGTGTCCAGTGGATTGGGTGTGGGGTTTGGGGATAGCTGGGAACCCAGAAGCTGAGACTGGGTCTCCTTGCACGTCTCTGGGCCTGTCTGAGCCTCGCTGTCCCCAATGAGGGTGGCCAGCTGCTTGGTCCTCTGGTCAGGGCCTCTGCATAGGTGGCCATCAGGGTTGTAGTTGGAGGCCTCAGCAGATGAGCAGGGCCATCAGGCACAGTGGCTGGTTGGCTTGTTCTATAAGTAGACACAGTGGCAGGATGAGCTCATGGCAGAATCTGAAGCCCTACAAATTTGCTGCCCTCCTCAAGGGCCGCAATGCAAAGTTAAGCCAGCATGGGTAACACCACCTTGGGGAAGTCGAAGCGCTTCTCATCCCACACGGGGATGAACGAGTTCCCCTGTGAGGTCTGCCTGGGGTGCTTGCTCCGCATGGCAATGGGGAGACTGAATGTATCCACGTCCACGTAGATGCCCAACTTTGTTTTGGACAGGAACTACCCCAAGATCACCTTAACCCTCAAGGCATTGGCCATGATGCCATCCATAATGAGCTCAGTAAGGGCCTTGTCTGGCCACTGCATGAACTTGGGCTTTAGCAGGTAACTGCCACGCTGGTTGTGCTCAGAAATGCCTGTCTTGAGCTGCATCATGACATCCAGGGCCTGGAAGTTGAGCACAACAAGCTGGTGGCATATGTTAGAAGAGCTGGAGCATGTATTTGGGGGAGTCCACACCGGTGCCCTTCGGGTATATGCGGCTGAGCTACTGCTGCTTGTATTCCACAGACTCCATGGGGCTCTTGGTCAGCTGCTCCGATGGTCTTGGTCTCCACCAGGGATAACATCTTGAAGCACTTGTTCTTCTTTCGAGCAGCCTCAAAGGATTTGACCTTGACAGGCTTGGTGTAGTTGACCAGTGTCGACATCTCCGCAGTGGCACTGACCTTGCTACTGGTGTACCCTCAACCGTGGTCAGCTTTTTGGGGTCCGTCTGTTCCCCCTCTTCCTCCTCTTCCTCATCCTCATGGTCAGCCAGGTCCTCCTGGCTCAGAGACTTCCAAGGCTCCAGGCTGGGCTTCTCCAGCCCAGCCTCCTCCCCATTGCTCAATCCTGGCTGCCGTGGGAGCCGGGGAACCCGAGCTGTGCTAAGGAGGCCTTGGGGGTGGCAGAGCTCTTGCTCAGGTCCCAGTGGCTCTGCTCCAGCGGCCGCTTGTGCACGGAGCTGCGGGGGACGCCGCTGCTGGGCCACTCCAGCTCCTTGTTCTTCACCAGGATGGGGCCTCTCAAGTCCTGGGGGCTCGGCAGGGGGCTGCTGGCGGGTCCTTGTCCAGGGGGTGGATGAGCAGCACATCCCCAGAGGTGGAGTGGAGCTCAGCCATCCTGGGCTGCTGCTTCACCGAGTCCACGTGGTTCTTGAAGGAGAGGTTGACGTGGTAGGGCGAGGTCTTGAAGGTGGCCTCCACAATGGCCTCAAGGACATCACACATTGGCACCTCGGTCATGATAGTAAAGCTGTGGGTGATGAAGGGCTCCTCCTAGGGCGGCCGCCCCTTCCACACGTCCAGCTCCACACAGCAGCCGCCCCTCAGCAGCTCCTGGAGGAACATCTCCACCAACAAGGTCCAGGCCACCTGCCCCGCTGTGAGATAGGTGTTGTGGGAGGAGCTGATGAAGTCGGCACTCAAGGCTGGGTCATGTCTGCACTCGATCCAGGCCTTCCAGAGGCAAGATGCCGTTTTCCTCCCTTCCCTCCCAGGTAGGGGCTGCAGCCCTCCATGGACATCTGGTCTCACTCCAGGAACTGCGACTTTGAGATGAGCAGCTGGGCCTGGGAGGGCTGCAGGGGCTGGTACAGCACTTGATTGAGTCCTGGTCCCATTGCTTCTGGTTGAGAAGTCCATGAGTTGCTCCAGTGACAGGCAGGGCTTGCTATTTCCAGCAGGATCTTGTCAATTCCGACTGTAGGCACAACTTGTTTAGGAACAGCTCAAAGATTTCCAAGGAGAACTATTTGGGCCAAATAGATGGCTCAGGTTGAAATTATGCCACAGGACTCCAGCGCGGTCTCCACTGGCTTGTTGTCTTCTGAGAGCATCTTCAGGATGTTCTTGACTGGGATCTGTCCATCCTGGTTCATCTGCAGCTTCAGCTTCGTGTATGCTTTGCACAGGAAGTTGTTCTGGGAGATGTTCTAAGCCAGGATGTTCAGAGCCAGCTTGAGCAGCTCCTCTGACCTGACCTTGGCTGTGTCGTTCTGTGCCATCATGAAGTTCAAGAAAGTGTGTTCACCAGGTCTGGCCCCGCTACCACCGTCATCAGGTTCTCCTCCAGCCAGACATGGGGGTTCCCAAAGCCCAGTACTTCCCGGATCTTAGGGTCCTTGGGCAGGCAGATGGGCTGTCCATGTGTCCCTGATGGAACTGATGTCTCGTGTGTCCACTTCCATGTTAGGCTCCGTCCGGCACAAGAAGAAGCCATTCTGACCTTATAAATTATCTGTTTACTGTAAGATATTTTCCAGATTCTTTCTTTGTTCTCTGCCTCTCATACCTTTCTTATAGTAGGTTTCCTCCAATGTCTGTTGAACTTTGGTTGCACATTCGTATTTAAGTATGATGTTCTAAGATGCTGATTGGAAAAATCTAGGTGGAGGTAGCACTTGTTGACTGTGAACTTCATTATGTAATGATCAGCGAAGGCAGGGAAGAGCCCTTTCAATTGTGGGCCCCAAATTCATTGTGAGGACAACTTTCTTCTAGAGCTGTTCATTTTCTCTAAGAAAGAGAAACACTCTTCTTCCTGCCAAGAGTGGTGGGAGTGGTGCAAGTGGCATTCCAGGGAAGATGACTGAGGACCCTGGAGGTCAGCCAGATTTTCACTAAGGCTTTTCTTCTCTTTGTCCTTTTGGGCTTGTACCCTCTAAATACTATCCAGTTTATGAGAGTCAGTCTCTCCTGCAAGGAACAGGTTAGGGGTGATTTCAACAGGGAAAGAAGGATCCTGCCAGGCTTAATAATCTGAACACAGACTTTCAGCCAATGCACTGCTCATACCCACATGCATCTCTGCCTCTTTCGAAGTTGTTTCCAGGTTTGCAACCATGTTTTTTTTTGTCTTACAGGAAGATGTTTAAATGTTTCCTTTGCTCATGTCTCCTTTCATGTTCTCCTTTTGGGTTAATAAGTTTTGTCCTCCTTCCCTGTAAATTAGTGGAAATTTGCTAAGAAAGGGGGCTAGATACATGCGATCAATCTACCAGGTTGAACTAAGAGTCTGTTATTTTTACTCTGTAATGGAAAAATCTCATTTATTCACTCCCAGATGTAATAAAATTTGAATACCCTTAAACAATCCTAAGAAATAAAGAATTAATTAGTATCACATTTTATGAATTCTAAAACACAGAACTGTGTGAATTTAGGAAATCAAAAGTATCAAATTCTCCCCCAGCTAACACTCTTGGAATATAAAAATACTTTTGCCATTTACTTAACTATATTCCATATGAAGATGGCATACCTTTAAATAAAAACACTTTAAAATTAAGAACTAGAATTCTATTTTCATCTGTAGATGCCATGTGACTTTTCTGAGCACATGAGATTCATGGTTTTTCTGATTTATTTTTAGAGAAGAACACTAAAGAATGGAACAACCACAGCTTGTTACTTTGGAACAATTCACACTGACGCATCTCTGCTCCTTGCTGAAATTACAGGTGAGCAGATGAAAGCATGATTTATGGGCTTATCAAGCAAAGACAGCCAACCATGCCTGGCAACAACTTATACTCGTGGGCAGCCCTGCCTTTTAATTGCTAGAATTCAAGCATTGCTTTTTTTTTGGGGGGGGGGGGGGGAAGTAACTATCTGTGTATTACTGTGGCTTTTGAATTTTTTTTGTCTTTTGTTTTTTTTTTGGGGGGGGGGGGGGAAGTAACTATCTGTGT